CAGGCTGGAGTGCAGTGGTGTGATCTCAGCTCACTGCAACTTCTGCCTCCCAGGTTCAAGCAATTCTCCTACCTCAGCCTCCTGAGTAGCTGGGATTACAGGTGTGCACCACCACACCTGGATAATTTTTTTGTATTTTTAGTAGAGACAGGGTTTCACTATGTTGGCCAGGCAGGTCTCGAACTCCTGACCTCAGGTGATCAGCCCGTCTCAGCCTCCCAAAGTGCTGGGATTACACGAATGAGCCACTGCACCTTGCCCAGCCAATTCTTTTAAGAGTGTTTTGTTGTTGTTGATTTAAAATTCAATAAAGATTAGATTAATTTGTTTCCTAAAATGAGACATTGGAATTGTTTGCTCTGAACACAAACACATTACTTATTTCAAGTTAGCAGAACAAATATTTACGAACATTTTAAAGAAGGATTTCATCTTTTCCAAGCCTCTACCACATGAAAAAAAAAAAAAAGCATCTCATTATTGTAAATATTGACAGTGTTTAAGTTGTTGGGTATATAGTAGGTAGTTCCTAAATCTAATGACTATATGGATGAATGAATAAAAAAGTAGAAAAACTAAGGACAGGACTAAATTGAAAAAGGGTTTTCTTTCAGAGAAAGCATACTTCTACAGTGGATGTTAGCTATGCTGTTTGCACAAATGCTCTGAAAATGTTTTTCAGCTCAGGTGCTGTAGAAATAATGTTTTTCTTTCCATGTCTATGCCCCACCACATTTCTTAACTAAAATTATCTGAAGATCAATTGATCAACGTGTTAATTATGAGTAAAACAATGTGCTAACTACAACTAACCTGCCTCCCCCAGGCAATATGCAATATCTGTCTACTTTTTCGATACCGTGGGAGATCTGTCTTTGGAAGTGGTCATTTCTACCTTTATTTTTTTGAGACGGAGTCTGTCGCCCAAGCTGGAGCGCAGTGGCGCGATCTCGGCTCACTGCAAGCTTCGCCTCCCGGGTTCACGTCATTCTCCTGCCTCAGCCTCCTGAGTAGCTGGAACTACAGGCGCCCGCCACCACGCCCGGCTAATTTTTTGTATTTTTTAGTAGAGACGGGGTTTCACCGTGTTAGCTAGGATGGTCTCGATCTCCTGACTTCGTGATCCACCGACTTCGGCCTCCCAAAGTGCTGGGATTACAGGCGTGAGCCACCGCGCCCGGCCTCTACCTTCTTTTAAACCTGCAACTTTTGTCCTGCCACTCTCATCCCGATCTGGCTCAGAGAATATGGAGAATATATATGCTAGTGTCCAACTGTTCCAAGTTTAGCAGGTCCACACTTCTGGTCTCATTTCTACTCACTCTTTGTGTTCTTAGCCCACTGCCCAGTACTTAGTTCCTGATACAGCCCTGCAAAGTCCCAACTTCTGCCTCTTATCCATGAACCACCAGATCTGGGTATGGTATCTGTAGCTGGTTATTATAGGGGTGAGCCCTTTAGATGGAGGCGATGGTAAAACAGCCTGAATTGGAAATAAGGAGACTGGTTTGCCACTCACAAATTGTGAACCCTTGGATGGGTTATTCAGCTTCTGTGGCTTCTCTATCATCTTCTGCAAAAATGATATTTAATGATAGATAGGTCTTAAACTCTATTCTGGATCTAACAGTCTCTGTTACATAAAATGAGTCATTTCAAGATAAAGAGATATAACTGGAAACTTTTGACCCATGGACTGTGGAACGTTTACTTGTGTTCCTTTTGCATAAATATTATGAAAATTGTTCTTTGAAAAAACAATCTATTGTTACATAGTACTGCATCCTTGCTTTTAGAAACATTTTTAAAAGACAAATTTGGAATTTTTCACCTTCCCTGGTATATTCCATGGTTTTGGATAAAGGGGTTTTAAGAACTTTGTATAATTACCAAATCACTTCAAATGAATGAAAACTCACCTCAGTGTAAATGAGAAGCAATAAACGTTCTAACTTATTTTGTTTCAGACTGAAGTCTGAGCAATACATAAATAAGCAAGCAAAATAAAACCCATTGGAAAAATCACATCTGTCCACTGTCATCACACATAAAGGCACATTGTGTGGTCCTGAGAAAGATTACACAGTGTCCAGAGGAGGAAGTGCTTTCTCTCAAAGAGAGGGAGAAATGAATAACTAGAGAAGCAAAGAGTTCTGTGAGAAAAATCAAAGACTGGGTGGGTAGAGTCGGAACTAGAGGAAGAATTTAGGCAAGAGGAAAACTCAAGGACAAATAGAGGGTTCAACTGTTCAGGCTTGTAGGCGCCATCTGAAATTGCAAAAGAAAGGAAAAATTGAGTCTGGGATATGATTAGGACAGTCATATTGTGTATATTTAACAAAATATAATGGAAGAATGAACATGATGGCTTATTTTTTCATTCAGTTTCCCTATCTACAATTTAGCATTTAAATTCTAAATACACGGATGTAACCTCTATGATAGCTGAGTTATACACAGCAGGATGGTTGCGCCATCTAAAGACAACAAGCCATCTAAACATAAAACTGCAGGCCCCAAAACACAGCATGCTCAAATTCCTTTTGTTTCTTCTACTTTTGTTTTAGCTTCCGGAGATACACGTGCAGGTTTGTTACACGGGTAAATTGCATGTTGCTGAGGCTTGGTATACGAATGATCCTGTCACTCAAGTAGTGAGCATAGTACCTGAGAGGTAGCGTTACCAACCTCCAGCCCCCTCCCATCCTCCTTTCTCAAGCAGTCCCAAGTGTCTATTGTTCTCATCTTTGCGTCCATGTGTCTTTAATGTTTAGCTCTCACTTTTCAGTGAGAACATGTGGCATTTGGTTTTCTGTTCTTGTGTTCATTCACTTAGGATAAAATGGCCTCTGGCTCCATCCATGTTGCCGCAAAGGACATGATTTCTTTCTTTTTGTGGCTGTCTAGTATTCCATCGTGTATATGTACCACATTTTCTTTATCCAGTCCACCATTGATGGATGGGCATCTTTGTTGATTCCTTACCTTTGCCATTGTGAATAGTGCTGCAATGAACATATGAGCCTGCGTCTTTTGGGTAGAATAATTTATTTTCCTTTGTGTATATACCCAGTAGTGGAATTGCTGGCTCTCAGTATCTCCCAGTAGAGGAATTGCTGGCTCTCAATATCTCCCAGTAGTGGAATTGCTCATTCTTGTTAAGTTTTTTTAAGAACCTTTCACACTGCTTTTCCCAGTGGTTGAACAAATTTACACTCTTATCAGCAGTGTGTAAGTGTTGCCTTTTCTCTGCAACCTCAACAGCATCTGTTGTTGTTTGACTTTTTAGTAATACCCATTGTGACTGTCATGAGATGGTCTCTCATTGTGGTTTGGATTTGCATTTCTCTAATGATTAGTGATGATAAGCGTCTTCTTCTCATATATTTGTTGGCTGCATGTATGTCTTCTTTTGAGAAGTGACTGTTCATGTCATTTGCCCATTTTTTAATGTGGTTTTTTGTTTGTTGAATTGTTTGCATTCCTATAAAGCAAAAAAGATCTCCCTAACTTGAAAGTAAACAGTGGTACTAAAATTTGTAAGCCTAGTCAAATGTAGGCTATTCAACAGGTGTGCTGTCCTTCATAGGTAATTCTAAGAAAAAGGAAAGGAAATGGATAAATCTGGGTATGGGATTGCTTTTGTGGCAGACAGTGTTTATTGGCTTACCCAGTACTTAACCTCAACCTTTTCTTCCTTTTCAACCTCAGTTATAGAGGTTGAAAATGTAAAGTGCTTGCGTTCCCGAGTCTCCTTTAGAACTGAAAAAGGCTGTGTGGCTAATGACAAGTAAGCAGACATCTGCTGGGATGTTTCCTCATCCTCTTCTATCTGCTCTAAGGAGGACATGGGCTCTACAGCTGTGTCAGCTGCCTTGTGGCCTTGAGAAGAAGGACAAATGAATTAAACAACAGTCATCACATCACTGAGCTACTGAACCAACGTTACGAGCCGCTTCAGATTTTTACTATGTAATAAAAAGAATTCTCCATTTTCTTAAACCTTTGTTAATGAGTTTTACTCTTATGGATGAAAACATCCTAATATACCTTCCAGAGAAGACAATTCTATTCTGCGCTTCCACATCATGGCTAGTAGCACTCTGATTCCAAGCGAGATAAGATTGTTTTGCTTCGGGCATCTTATCCTGCTTTCCATGAGCAAATACAGTCTCTTCCCAGGGCATCTTGGCAAATGGACACATGTGCTTGCCAAGGTGACTCTGCTATCCTGTGTGATGGGAGGAGGAGGGGTAAAGTTTGGTTTCAGAAATCTAAGTTCTCTGCCCTGAGCAGAGACAGACAGGGTCATAGAACTTGGCCTGTTCCATCCTCTGTATCTCGCTTCCTCCCCTCCCTTTTCTATAGGATAAGCAGAAAGACAAAGAGCTCAGTGTTTCTCTCTGCCTAAGGAAGCGTGCTCTCTGTGTGTGTGTGTGTGTGTGTGTGTGTGTCGGTGTGCATGCACATGTGTGTTTGGGGCTGGTGAAGGTGGTAGTCTCTATGCCTTCTCCACCTTCAGTAGAGATAAGACAGGCAGGGAAGGTGGAAGGGAGTCCAGCGACACAATCAAAAGGAAGGAAACTCTCACTTTAAGGTCAGCGGTAAAAAGCAGACTCCAAGCTTGCTACAAACAGCAGTAGTGAAGGAAAAGCCTCGGTGTAGAAATAAATACAGAGTGACTTAAATGCCATGAGGAGGGGGGCATAAAAAAATTCAAGAAAATGTATACAGAGTAATAATTTTGGGTGGAAAAACAAGTAATGGTTACAGAAAAGGGAGAAGAAAGTGTGGAAAGATTATCCTGATGTGCTTACTTTCTCTTCTAGCCCTTAGATTATATATTATATTAGCCATGAAAATAACAAGTCCTGGAAAAGAAACGTGTACATGATGGGTGTGTTAATTTCCTTCACTATAGTAACCTGTTTACTATCTATATTTAATTCACAACATCATGTTGTATGCCTTAAATGTACATAATAACATTTATTTTTAAGAAAAGAAAGTACAGAGAGAAAAAAGGATGGAATACACATGAATGCCGAACCACGTTGGATATGTAGCGGTTCATGAAGATATTCCATGCAAGGCCTATCTAGTAGAGCTTCAAATCTATTTGAATAAAAATGGCACTCATTGAGGACATCTGCTTTCTGTAATGTCTACACAAAGTCTTACCAGGGGTAAGAAAATCTTTGCCATAGTCTTTTGAGGTCTTAATAAAAATCATGAAATTTGTGACAGAGACCATTGTTGCTATAGAACAAGCAGAGACATTTAGGTATCAAGCCATTAATGATAAACAATATTAATATGATTATTCATTATAGTGTGACCTGGCATCTTATTCGTACTGAAACAAGATGACATCACATAATGCTAATATAGAACAATTAGTTTACTTCGTTTAGCTCTCAAACACATTTAAGGTTAACTTTCTTAATCATGAAAGAAATCTGACTTCAATTGTAAATATCTAAGAGTCCCTAAGATCTGAATGGGAGATGAGAATTCCTCTGTTAATCATGAAAATTTGAAACTATCTCATATCCTGTAGAATGAAAACAATTCCTTATATGAATTTTGAGTTTCTTTCATAAAAATTATAGCGTGCTATTGGTATTTTGGAAAGTATTTACAAATTATTTGTGGACCATTAATTTTCTTTTCTGAGAAAATTAAGTGCATTAATATAACTACTTATATCGGGAGTTAGAGTTGGGTACTCCTCATTTACATTTTGGTTCTCTGTCATCTTTACTAGGTCTTCTTGGCTCTTATTGACTGCTGATGAAGGAGGAGTTTATAAAGAAAACAAGTCAAAACCTGAAGAACTCTGCTACTGAGAGCAACACACATATTTTCCCAGAGTGCCAAGTTGAGAAGAAGAAGTACAAAGCTTTGTTAATATTCTGAACAGTACTGCTTAGTATGATCTAATTGATGGATTTTCCATGGACTCCCTAGAGACTGAAAAAGGTTTGACTGTCAGGAAACTTTCCTTGTGTTTATTCTTCAATATTCCTTTTCATACTTTCCAATCATCATTCCCTGTTAACATCCCTTGATGGGTCACCTTAAGTGATTCTTCGTTTGAATGGCATTTATAACGTTTTATATTTCCCTGTTAGTTTCTATCTTGACAAAGTACATATTTTCTTAATCTTCACTCATAACATTAATTAACTTTTCCAACATTTTAAAGCTCAGTTAACATTTCTTTACATATGCCTCTGTCTTTAAAATATGAGATCTGAATGTACTGGTATCACTAAAATTATCTACAGAGTTCTAATACGATGGAAATTGTGCTATAAAAATTTGTTCTTACATAATTTGCTTCAACGGAATTCCTCCTGAACTAAATACTTAGTCTTTACATTCTTTAAAATAACTGAAATTTCCCAGAGGAAAGTCTGAATTGTTCATTTAACCTTGTGTGATGTGTGTTGTCTGTATCTAAAACAGCAAAGTGGACACACCCTGCATGCTTAACATTTTTGACTTTTCTTTTTTTTTGAGATCAAGTTTTGTTTTTGTCACCCAAAATGGAGTGCAGGGGTACAATCTCCAGTCACTGCAACCTCCGCCTCCTGGGTTCAAGCGACTCTCCCACCTCAGCGTCCCAAGTGGCTGCGATTACAAGTGTGCACCACTACGCCTGGCTACTTTTTTTTTTTTTTTTTTTTTTTGAGACGGAGTCTCGCTCTGTGGCCCAGGCTGGAGTGCAGTGGCCGGATCTCAGCTCACTGCAAGCTCCGCCTCCCGGGTTTAGGCCATTCTCCTGCCTCAGCCTCCCGAGTAGCTGGGACTACAGGCGCCCGCCACCTCGCCCGGCTAGTTTTTTGTATTTTTTTAGTAGAGACGGGGTTTCACCGTGTTAGCCAGACTGGTCTCGATCTCCTGACCTCGTGATCCGCCCGTCTCGGCCTCCCAAAGTGCTGGGATTACAGGCGTGAGCCACTGCACCTGGCCAACTGTGACTCATTTTTAAAGTGGTTTGGCAATAATGCTATATATGTATAATGATTTTCAATAAAATATACAACTATACATGGCCTGTTATCTTATTTTAGACAGAATAATCTTAGTCTTGTACTTTCATGTGTTAGGTTGATGGCTATATTTGGTGAGGAAAAAATAGGGTAAAATAGATCTCACTCATTTCAAGAAATAGTCAGTTTTCTTTGCAAGCATTTGCTCCCCTTCTCCTTAGCCCACCAGTGTGGTAAATGAGTCTTCCAGCTATGAGGCTGTTTGTACCTCTGTCTGGGAGGAGACTTTTGGGGCTTTGGTTGCTGCTATTGACTTGGAGGGGCTTTGAAGGCCCCCTTGAAGATGTCACGCATGACCTCTGGACTGTTGGCATCTTTCAAGAATCCTTATGAGACACTAACTCATTTGGTTGATAATTGGTGAAAACAGATCATGTATTTTTAAACCAGATAATGCCTAAGTTATATTACTGTAGAATTCATAGAAAAAAACAAAGTAGCAGAGATCTTTAAAAAGACTGTAAAGTGGTATTAGCGAACTGTCTTGCTTCGTCTAGTAGTTCTACAGAATTCAGCTTTATTATCCTAAAAAAGAAATTATCACATCTCCAGGAAAAGCTTCCTTTGGGGTCTAGGCATTTTGCAAAGCTAGGGAGTCCCTGTGTGAAGTATCACTTGCCTATTTATTGAGTGTTTCCCTAAATGACTAGTGTCATCTCCCAGTGGTCATTAATATTCTTCTCCAAAGGTTCCATCTGTCAAAAATGGGGAAATGTGACCCAGTATAAAAAGGATGAGGTATTTTCATTGGTTCTTGTGGTCTACCCTGGCTTGCTGCTGCTCCCAAGGGGAGACAGAAGTTCTGTTCAACACAGTTGGAAAGTTTTCTGGACTCCAAGTGTCAAACCAGGAGTGGAGACGCAGCAGTTTTCAAAAGAAAACAAAACAAACAGCCGACACATCTATCTCCTTTTCTCTTCTGGTCCATATTCTATCATCTCCTCATTTAAGTTGCACTCTCTCACTTTTGTTTGAACTAAAGCTTGTGTTCATCTGGAGCCAATAAAAACTACAAAAAGGAAACATCTGTATTGTTAAGTAACTAATGTTACTATGATAGCCCAGTGAAGTAACAATCTAATTAAAGATCATATGGCCAAGGTTTTAGCAGATAATCTTTTCAAAGCAGAATAAAATTTGTTACTATGTATAACTATTACATTTGCATACATGAAATTAGATTTGTATCTAATTTATTTTTGTATTGCCTTATATTTTTTAGTATTTTAAATATGTACTGTTAATATTCCATGACATTTGATCTTTGAAACAAATTGAAAGATAGGTATGTTACCTAGATGTAAAGACATATACATAATTAGTAAAATAGCTGACACAAGAACCTCGCAAATTCCTTACAAAAGTTATCCTTGTTAGAAAATGTGGTTAAATTCTAATGAAGCGAGTTATTTTGGAAATTTTCATTGACTTGCTGGGAGGGGTTTTAAATAATGCAGAAACTTTCTGGAAGGCAATTTCAAAAACTTTAAGTATTCTTACCCTTTGACCAGAAATTCTACTTCTAAAAATATATTCTAAGTAAATAATTTGATATTTGCAGAAAGACTTAGCTACAAAGAGGACCTCTGAAGCATTGCTCGTGTATTATTTAGAGTAAATAACAATAGTACTAGCCTTTATATAAAAAAAAGTAATCCAGAAATTTTATGATTCAACATTCAGAAACATATATTTTTTGCTCACACAAGTTCCAAAATGGATGTTCCTGATGAATGTGCATTCATGTAATTATTCAGAGACTCAAACTCCTTCCATTTAATGACTCCTCCATTTCTGGAGTCCCAGGAGTCCTCTTCAAAAGAGCCTCTGTCTTTGGCTGACCTGCGTGAGAAAGTATATGGAGGTCATATGGACGATGTTTCACGCTGAGCCTGTAAGTTACATAGATCCTTCTGCTCACATTTCACTGGCCAGATAATGCATGGCTACCCCATGGTATGGAAAGCTGGGACCTGTACTCCAGTTCTGTGCTTAGACAATAGAAGAGGGAGATTTTGGGCATGTAATAGTCTTTCTTCAACTTATAATTGGAAATACATTTTAAAATAAATTGTCATATATTCATATAGTAGAATAAAAAACTTGATAGTAGTTATCAAAAATTTTTTACCATTTAATACAATGAAAAGATGTTCTTGATGTATCGAGTGGAAAGTGTTACAAACAATGTTTTTGTCACAAGTTTTATGGTATTCACACAGCCATGCTATCATCTCAGCAATGTCATACTTCCTACTTTCCCAAGTTTTCCTTATTTTTCTTCTGTGTGCTTAGTAAAGAAAGCATGATGGCCAGGCGCAGTGGCTCATGTCTGTAATCCCAGTATTTTGGGAGACTGAGGAGGGGAGGATCACGAGGTCAGGAGATTGAGACCATCCTGGCTACAGCGAAACTTCGTCTCTGCTAAAAATACAAAAAATTAGCCGGGCGTGGTGGCAGTCGCCTGTATTCCCAGCTACTCGGGAGGCTGAGGCAGGAGAATGGAATGAGGCAGAGCTTGCAGTGAGCCGAGATCGTGCCACTGCACTCCAGCCTGGGCGACAGAGCGAGACTCTGCCTCAAAAAAAAAAAAGAAAAAAAAAAAGAAAGTATGATATGTAGAAAGATTTCACACTAGGGAACCTGATAGATGTAGGTTTGAATATGGATATTTGTCATTTATTTGTCATTTATTAACTGAGTTAACTGAGCCCAATTAATCTAACTTATATGAGGTTTATTTCTTTTATAAAAGATAAAAAAACTACTTCATAAGGTCATGTAACATACTTAACACATGTAATATACTTAACAAAGTGGCATATATAATATATATTATATATATGTAATATATGTATATATGTAATAACTTAACAAAGTGTCTGGCATATATAATGTATTTTTAAAATCCTATAAATAATATAGTGATATCAATTGTTACTTTTATGATATTATGGTCAGACTATTCCAAGTACATAGATAGCAATTTGTTAACAACGTATTCAAATGGACTACAGCCTTTACGGCTCTTTTCCTTAGCCTCCGATAGTTTAATGTATTTCTTCTGAATTTTTTTCTTAATATCCAGCATCTTCTCACAAACCTTCCAAAATATATATCATGAGCTAGGAATATTTATTCCCATTTTTGAATAAATATTTAATTATAGTTGTAATAAATTAATTATAAATACATTACAAATTAATTATAAATAAATAATAATTATAATAAATAAAATTAATTTTAATTTTAATAAATAAAAATTAAATAAATAACTATTTAATTTTAATTGTATTTGACAACAGGCAGTATTTTGTTCTTGGCTAAATACTGTCGAACTGCCCTCTCCAATTGAGGTGAAAGATTGAACATTTTGGCAGACGCTATGGGTTGCCTACCACAGAGCCACTTTCTCCCTAGTTCTCAACACTGGCAAAGTCTGCTTCTCACTTGGGAACTTGAAAATGTCAGACTCCGCCTATCTGAGTCCTTCTTGCTGCTGAAGCATAGGCATGTGATCCAATCCTGCCTGGTAGACCAGAGGAGAAATCTACTGAGGAAGTCTCAGAAACGTATTCACCTGCTAGTGAATTGACCGTGTTCTCAGTTATCTAAGTTTCCCTGCATCTCAGCCCTTGGCAGTGTGACTTTGTGATTCTTCCAATCTGGAGGTGGAGTCTATTTTCCTACTTCTTAAATTTAGGCCGATCTTGTAAAAATATAGCAGAAGTGATGGCACACCGTTTCGAAGCCTAGGCCCAAGAAATCTTGACAGGTAGGCCTTCCAGAATGACAGAGTGAGGCGCATGGTAGACTCTTTTCCTAGCACAAAAGCGTGTAACTGGAGGAAAATAAGAAACCAAACAGTTATTTAGAGTCTCTTGAAATTGTCCTAAGAGCCTACACCAAATGGAGAAACATTCATTCAAAAAATCTCCTAAATAAGGCTGGGCATGGTGGCTCATGCCTGTAATCCCAGCACTTTGGGAGGCTGAGGCAGGTGGATTACCCGAGGTCAGGAGTTTGAGACCAGCCTGGCCAACATGGAAAACCCTGTCTCTATTAAAAATACAAAAAAATTAGTTGGATGTGGTGGTGGGCGCCTGTAATCTCAGCTACTCAGGAGGCTGAAGCAGGAGAATTGATTGAACCTGGGAGGCTGAGGTTGCAGTAAGCCGAGATTGTGCCATTGCACTCCAGCCTGGGTGACAAGAGTGAAATTCCATCTCAAACAAACAAAACGTCTCCTAAATCAGTAAAATCAGGAAGAGGTAGTGGAATTGCTGCAGCCATTTTAAGACTGTGAGGGGAAATATTGGCAACACCCTGAAGAGGGAAGAATAGAAATACAGGAAAGAGATCCTTCATGGCATCGCTGAATCATGGAATTTGCTAACTCTTTTTTTTTTTTTTTTTTTTTTGAGACAGAGTCTCGCTCTGTCACCCAGGCTGGAGTGCAGTGGCCGGATCTCAGCTCACTGCAAGCTCCGCCTCCCGGGTTCTCGCCATTCTCCTGCCTCAGGCTCCTGAGCAGCTGGGACTACAGG